AATTACAATTCTACTTCATGTGAATTATTCAACATTTTTTAGAATAGATCAGTAACATAACATTTTCAGCGCACAGGAACATCTAACCTGTTCCTGTTCAGTCTCTGAACACTGTGCCTGAATGGAGCCTATAAGCAGCAATGTCAGGTTTTCATAGTGTTCAGCAGTTTTGTCATAAATGAAGAAAAACTTCTAAAAACTACAGAATGCCTTTTAAAAAACATTTAATGTTCTTTAAATGTCATTTAATACAAAACCTTTCAAGTAATTGTTGTGTTATGATTATTTTTCCAAACATGCAACACAAAAATTCTCATAAAATGAATAAAGTAGAATATATTTTAAGTAAAATACAAACTAAACGTGATGAAAACACTAAATTCTAAATTGAACTGAAGTAAAAATGTAAAAACAGAAATAACATTTCTTCCTGCTTTCCTGATTAATAATTTTAATGGGTTTTTGCTCATGAAAGCAAAGTTTTGCTTCAATAATTGCAGGTAAAATGATGACTCTGACAGCTGTGTGCAACAGAGCAGAAAGAGAGAGATATTTAAAAATCATGTTTTATTACTAAATGAGAAAATCAGCTGAAACTGTTGAGGGAAGTTTGTTGTAACTAAATCACAGGAGAAGCCTGTGTTCATCATGTGTTAATAAACAAACATTATATGATTTGCGTTAACGAGCTGTTACTGCAGATAGGACTTTATAGTGGCCCAGATTTTTTTATTGAGGATGTTTTTCTGAAACCGGGTCTGTTTAACCGACATCCCGTCTTCTTTAGAAGCGCGTCTTCGTCCACCTGCAGCCACTGAGATCAGAAACGGGATCCGTACTGCAACCTGAGCAACCTAATCTGTGTATTTCCAGTAAAACATGTTTGCTACAAGGTTTATGCTGTAATCTGATTTTTATTTTACATCCACAAAAGGCTAATTTTAGATTAGATATTGCAGATAATGAGGACAGCTTGCCATTATTCTAAAAATCCATTCGTCATTAATTACAAGTAAGGTAGGATGGCGCACTGGCTGCTTCCAGGCGACTGACTTTCGTGTGTTTCGCGAGCTACCGGCAGCTCGTGAGTGACGTGTGACGTGAAGACCCCTGATCTAAACTACTGTGATAATAGGGAAACAATGGCATCTTTGTTGGTGACTAAGTGCCAGACTACTAGATGAATATCTAGACCAATTATGATATTTGTGCATCAACACTGAGTCCAAAGCGCCTGCTGTTGTACCAACACTCTGTGTCACTCACTACCAGATACAGTCTCCTCAGAGCTTTATGCTAAGTATGTGTGTTTTCTCTGTAAACTGAATCATCTCAGTTTTTCCTACAAACGCTGAGGAAACAAAGGTACAGGTTCTCCAAGCCTTTTCTCCATCTGACTTATCAAAAGACACGACATGTTTTGTTTGAGTAGTCATTCCAGGAAAGCCTCTGTCTTTGGTCTGCTTCCTGGCAATGACAGCTGCAGTGTGTCACTCATTAAGAGTCCACTTTGAGATGGTGACTATGATTTACTTAACACTTATGGTGGAAAACTTCACAGCACTCAGCGTGTCTCCTTTTCTTTTTGTTGAACCCTCACCTCCCAAGTCCCATCCTGCATCCAGCCTGACTGTCATCCATCTCGCTCAGCCTCTTTTGTCTCTTTTATCTCCCCCCTGAGCCATAAACACAGAGCTGATCCAAAGCTTTTGGAGTTCACTTTTGGCTCAGTCCCAGGTCAGTAAGTTGCCCTGTCCAATTAAATGATACACAGCTCCCTCACACTCGGCTGAGCAGCCCATCCCATCTAGCCGCCTTTAGCTCCCGTCATGGCCTTACATGGGGGAGTTCTTATCAGAGGAACAAAGAGGGTCACAATGACTGAAAGAGGCAAACAGCAAATAAATCAGGACTTAAGAGGCCCTCTTATACTTGCACATTCATATCATCTCCAGTATCTTAGTTGCAAGGATTTGGGGCGACTGTTTAAATGACGTAGTTTTAACTTAAAAGAGTTTTCCCTAACCAACCAACCAACCAACTCCTAAAGTAGCGTTTTAGTTTAGTCAGTTTTGCAGGTCATGGCAGTTTAGCTCTGCATTCAAATAACCAATCATAATTTATATTATGTCTTCCCTGACAACATTACTAATATAGGACCCACCATTCCTTAAATAAATGTTATCAACAACCTTGTTTCAGGCCAGAACTTTAAACTAGCATCATTTCATGTTTGGTGACAGAAAAACATGGTTGACTTCAACAGAAGAATCCTGCTCAATCTTCTGTTCTCTAACAAGTACTGAAGATTGGATGATTTGTTTTAATTGTCATAGAGTCTTTGATAAGATTTGATATGACTCATTCTCAGCAAGTGGGACACCAAACATTAGCTACATACAGTGCAGCTGAGTGAGTTTCGTCCCTACTTTGTGTTTTTCAAGGTCTGTTGGCTGTGGAGGCCATCTTTAATTGTGTTGACTCCAAAGGTTAATCAGCTGTTGACATAACACCAATTAAAATTTGTTTAAATTTGAATTAAAATATGTCCAGTAGATCATGAGACATTTTACTACAAACAGATCCGATACAGACAAAATAAAATGTATGCAGTGGTCCCTCGCTAAACCGTGGTTCGCCTTTCACAGCCTCGCAGTTTTGCAGATATTTTTTTGTGACGTTGTGCATGCCTTTTTTACAACGCATTGTGCATCCAAAGGTAAAAAGATATGAACTGGGAGAGTGTTTAAACAAGAAAGAAAAGTGTGACAATATTGATGCTGTCTGATAAAAGTGTGTAGTGAGGTGTTTAACAGCCTTAAAGATTGTGGTGCTGCGCTGGGACGAGCACGTCTGCGGAGGAGAGGAGAGCGGGAGCGTGCTGTGCCATGGAGCGCATTAGTAGGCTAATCAGCGCTCCTGCGTCTTTATAGAAGTAGGAGACGCCGGTCTCTACAACGTGACGGCGAGGCAGCGAGAGCCTGAAAAGCTGGAGTGAGTGTGTGGAAAAAAAGCCGTTCATCCACGCACGTGTGCTGGAAAATAAATAGTTGAGAAACGGACATTCAGGTGTGTTTTTGTGTGTGTGAGCCAAAAAATAGCTATAATAAATGAAGCCGACTGCTTTGTGGATTTGGCCAATTGCGGGTTATTCTTAGAACGTAACTTCCACGATTAACGAGGGACCACTGTCTGTAAATGGTGATGTCACTTCCCTTTTGAGGGTTTTGTTACATCAGACTCTGTCAGTACAGGAAGTTTCCATCCTTGTAGCTCCACTCAAAGACAGTTCAGATGAATATAAGTGGAAATGAGTTCACACGATCAGCTCCATTAACTCAGTCACCATGGGAACATGCTGGTTATGAGAAGAACTTTCATTCAGTTGGACCTGAGGAATGAGATTTTTAAAAATCCACAAAGGGAACAAATTTTTAGCTTCTTTTGATCTTTGGCTTCATTTTTGGAAAACGCGAAGGCAGCAGATCTGGTCTCTGACTGATTGCCACCCCCTCTCTGAACAACGGGGGGGGTGGGGATGGGGTCCTGCAGCGGTGAGCAGGGTCAGCCCGCCTCCCCTTGCTCTCATTAGGATTATAGCAGCACATTAGTGCACCGCTCCAGGGCACCGGGAGGGAAATGTCTTTAATCAACACAAGACTGGTTGTTTATTTTGACTGACATCCGTCGCTCTTTTTATATGAGAGAGAAGAGGTAATAAAACACCACCCGCAGGACTCTAAAAAACCTAAATTAGATTCATCACCAGACAAATTACATACAGCATTAACTAAAGGCAAACAGGTGTGGATCACCCGTCTGCCTCTGGTAAAGTTAGGGCACCGTGCTGTTTTCTGATGAATACAAACACTCGGTTCTTTGGTCAGTGAAAACTATAACATCATATTTCAAAGTTCAAAGGTGAAATAATTTTTACTCAAAACAAATAAAGAACAATAGAAAATAGTTACAACATAAATGGATAAAAGGTGAGCCTAACGAGAGGTTGAGTTCTTTGCAACAAATGAATTTCAAATAATAATACATTTTACAATCTTTGTAAAAGAGATCAAAAGCTGAATGGATTAAACCAAAAGACTTTGCATGCTCTGTTTTGTCGTACTGATTTCCATCCTGGTCTGGAGCTGCATTGCAACCATCCAACCATGTTGCAAAAGTGTAGGAACTCTCCATTGGAACCTCTGAGGCCCCTAGCAGCATTCTGCTGGGCCAATCACAGCTCTCTATCAGGGTTTCAAACCGATAGAGGCCTGTGATTGGTCTACAATGATGGGTGGCGCTCTATTGGTTTGGAGGGCGGGACGATGCGACAGAGTGGAACAAAACGGCGACAGCTTGTTTGAAACAGCTTTTACAGTACATGAATGTTGGACTATTTAGACTTGGGCTTTATTAGAATCAGGAGCAGATAGATGTATTTAAGTCCTAAATTTAGAAAAAAGGATGTATTTGTCTTCTTCAACGGTGGACTGCCTCGTTGACCGACATCCATTGTTCGTTTTCCAGTAGCATGCAGAGATTGTAGAGAACCCGCCCCATAACTGAGAACCATCAATGGAGCGTTGTCGGACTGAATATTATATTTATTTAATCCGGCTTGCCAGACTAGAAAAATGCAAGATTATAAGCAGAATACATTTTCTGATAGTATTTTAAAAACTATATAACTTTCTGAAACACTGCAAATGAAAGCCTGGTGTTAGGATTAAGACCTAATGAAGACTGGACTGTTGCAGACAAATGCAAAACGATTAGTCTCAATGCTAACGTTCAAAAGCTTATGAGACCTAAGGTATGGTCAGCTTTTGTAAGAAGAAATAATAACCAACATTTTAAATGCAATGTACTGATTAAGAACTGGCCATTTAGGTAGCAATTTTTAGTATACTGTGTTTTTAAGGTCAAATGTCCCCTGCTCACATTAGGTATGACTGATAAGATTACATAAGATCACATTAGGAATGCTCAGAAGTACTCACACACTCTTCTGCACGTTTGCTGACATAACTGTGTTGGTTCTGGGTCAACAAAACGTTGGCGCTCCCGGACTGAAACCAACATAGATGTTAAATAACTAATGAGTAAATATGCCAACACAAGATTTTCATGTCATTTTGATCAGCTTACAGCTTACAGCTGGGTAGAAGTCCAACCTGTTCCTCGCTCTCCACCTTCCTTTATAATTCTTCAGTGAAGTTGTTGAACTCTAAAACCTTTTCTCAAACACGCCCAAAGACACGGTAACACTCCCGTTCCCACCCTGCACAAATAAACAAAAGTGCTGCTCTGTTATCACAGGGTTACATGGAAACCACTGCACCACTCTAACTTGATTGCATTGCAGGTGAGAATGTGTCCTTTGACCCCAGAGAAGTTGGGAGTCCATGCAGCAGAGATGCTTTGACTAAAGATGTCTGCTCCAGTAGTTCTTTTGTTTAGAGATCTTGGTTTTATACCCCCAGACGGCTGCACACCCAACATGTTTATAAAAGCACCGCGTCATCCAGACAAGGGGGCTGGCCTTGACCTGTGACCCTCTCCAAGGTGGAGCTGTGACCCACCCAGTGTTTGGGAATTCCTGGTGGAGGGTCTGATGGTTATATGGAGCATGCTGCTGAATGAAGTGACACAGGCAGGAACAGATGCTGAGTGTGAAGGCTCAGTGGTCAGCTCTGACCTCTGTGTTTGTGTTCACAATGAATGAAGCAGCAGCAATCCAATCAATTACTAAAACAGGCCTCTTTGAACTGAAGTGGAGCTTCTTTGTGCCTCAGCAGCTGCTTCACTTAAACACGCAGTAAAACATGTCAGAAAACCAAACCCTGAAGTGGATCTGAAAGAAGAAAACATCCAGAGATCAACTGGATGAGAAGGTTGATGTCATATTGTTAACTTTCTTATCGCCAAAATGTCTAGACTCAACCTCTTGCTCAACTCTTTCTGTTCTCTTTGCTTCACTTCACTTAATGTGCTCCTTCCACGACAAGGAGCACAGACGTGGTACACCATCATACCTTAGGGATTATGAGATTATCGTTTCACAGCCACTTTGAAGCAGAGCCTCTAAGCTCATCTACAATCACGGTCTTACAACATGGGATAGGTGGAGAGATGCACATAGGAGTAAGCACAAATGACCCCACTGGTAAAGCCTAGTTCCAAATGCATCATTAAACACAAACTTAAAACGTAAAACCTTCCTGAAGTCGGGCTCATGGTTACAGCTAAGAAACTCTAATGGGTTCAGTGGCAGAAATTCCTGATCTGTATCACCAACAGAACCAACCCAATTGTTCCCGGGCATGAAGTCAAGGTGTCCATCAAATTTCAAGGAAATTCTTTAGCAGGGTTTTGCAACACCCTGCTGACAGACAAAACAAAAACACTCACAGCGAATGAGAAAAATCACAACCCAAGTCCTCCATTACAGCTTTCAGTCAACAAAGTCCACTCCCTCTGTAGGGAAACGGAAATGTGGAGCAGGTAAGTCTTATCTGAATGAACTTTGAAATTAGAGTTTCTATTACTTCTGCAGACATATTGTATATTCTACAGAAACAAGCCAAGTTAGGAATCTGGTTTAAAGTATACTATCAATAATTAAGTGGGCTGAAAGTCCTCTTGATCCTAAAAAGCTGCTGGAATATGACTGAGGGAATGTATGTGGATTTTATTCTCTACTCTGGGATTAGAGACAGAAATGTGTCTGCCACAAACTGATGCTTCACTTGAGCGGATACTTAATCTGTTAGGGACCAAATGATGTTGCTCTGCCACCAAGATCATTGAGTCAGTTCACACTGAGCAATATAATGGATAAGAAAGAGGATTTGACTGACTTTAAATGTGGCATGGTTGTTGGTACCTGACAGGCTGGTCTGAGTACTTCAGAACCTTCTGATCTGCTGGAATTACACTCATTATTATCATTTGGGTTTTACAGACATCTAAAATATCCACTCGCTGGCTTCGAGTATAGCCTATATGGAGCTTTCATCAGCATGGAACAGGAATGCAACTTCAGATACCCCAGCACCTTGGATGGACTTGATGTATCCTTAGAGACCACTTGCCAAGTAGAGGGGGATGGGCTCGGTGGACCCGGGGAAATGGTGGATGGGTAGGTTGTAAGTTTATAATGTCATAAACAGGAAGTTTGTTGTTGAGTATTTGAGATGTTTAGGTGTTGCTGAAACTTCCTAAGAATAAAAAATTAATGAACAAAAAAATCCTTTGAAGTTTGTGAGCATGGAAACGTCTTGTGGAGGTCAGAGACTGGTCGCACTGGTTCTAGACACCAGCAGCTCAAATAACCACTGGTTCTTACCGAGATCTACAGAAAAGCATCTCTGAACCACAACATAGAGCTCTGAAGCAGATGGTGGAGTAGTGTGAGTCAGAAATAACTTGCTTCCCAAATAATTAAAATATTTCTGTAAAATAGCATTTCAAAAATAAAAGTTTATATTTTCTTAGGATTCTAGAAATTTTCTTTGAGCCAACTTGGAGCAAAGGTGCACCTAAAAAAATCTAACACTGCTGTCAAACTGCAGTGAAGATCAGAAGTTGTTCAGGGTCTGTAGCCTACATCTGGTGTCCATTATGCATCTGTGATGGTGCATCTGCAGAATAATGCATTTCCTAAGTACAAGTCTGCAAAACGGAAACGTTTTTATTGAAAAAGAAATGCTTGGTTAACTTTTGTGAGTTTTACGGTTCCCAAAAGTCCAGAGAAAAATTGCCTTGCTAACAAGTCACTTTCCAAAACAGACTTCCATCCACAGGGATCAAAGTTCCCATCCACCCAGAGGGAAAAGGACTGAGATTCCTCCTCAGAGGAGAGAGTGACCTCATTGCAGCACTAACTTGGAGTACTTGATCTGAAGCTTTACGCTCAGCGTTCCATGGTACGGAGATCAAACCTGTTCATGAAGCTGAAGGCTCATCCCCAAGCAAACATTCCTCCTAAGAGTCAGCAGAGATAGAAAATGAGCCCAAAGCCAAATCCTTCTCCTTCTGTGGACCAGTCAGGATTAACTACGGTTAACTGGCTGACAGGCTGCACATTTCTCTGACAAATTACATCAAAATCAGGCCCAGAAAAGGCAAAAATGGGCTTTTTTAAAAGATTCAAATATAGATTTAAAAACCATTGCATTTTCATAAATTATTCAATATAAACTTTTGTCCTGTCATTCAGATTTTGTCTTTCTGTGCTCAGTTTGGGATTAGATAAATATAATATAGCTAGTGACATTTAGATAAAGGTAGTCTAATGGGATGTATGGTATGTAGTCAGGAGCTGCAACATCAGATATTCAGGAGGATTACCTCATTTGCTGGCAGGAAGTTTACACTCAAAAGAAATCAGTTGTTGGATGAACACAATCTAATCATGGCACTCATTTCCATGTGATTTAACCAAGATAACCCATTTTTGATCATGTCAAACGAACACAATTGGAATTAGGTGGTTTAATTTAATCAGATTACATTGGATCAATGTAGTATCCTTTCATTGACTCAAATTTATTTAAGTAGAATAATTTTTTTAATTCATTCATTCAACAACAGTTAAAAAATTGAGAAAACACAATTAAATCTTGTTGTTTGAACATTTATCTTGTTAATCAAGGCAAATACTGTTAGTCTTGCTTAATGAACCAATATGGGGGTTGATGATTTTACTCATATCAATCTATGTATTTCAATTAGATTGGTTTTAATTTGTTACACATAATCAGAACCCATAATTTTACAATAAAAAAAATCACAATTAGATTATGATGACATTAATTTTATTAACTGGATTTAGTAGACAACATAAAAGCGTACCATTTTTGTACATCTTCTGCAAGCATAATGCAATTTCAAAGGTAAACACTAGAAAACTTATTTAAACAGGGAATTCCATTGTAATCATGCAAATCAGACAGTGGAACCAAAACTGCCACAACTAAAAACGGATGTAAAGATGGCTCTATAAACTATATGTTAACTGTGTTATAAAAAATTATATAAAAATTAAAAACATTTCCCTTTCGGCAGGACAAATAATAAATACATAAATAAAAAGTACCTAAATTATAGAAATAATTCAGGGGCAATACACCTAAAGAAAAATATGGGGGGAAAAAATATCATAATCCATAGAAAAAATAAGTACAGGGAGTTAAACACAAAATAACTTTTAGGAAGTAAAACTAAAATAGAGGGCTTCAAAGCGAATTAAATTACAGTTGACAAATCATTTTTCAAATTCAATCAAAGTCTACAATGTTTGGTGTGTCTAATTGTAATAATTAGTTTATTGAGCCATTTCTATAAATCTGTGTTGTCATTTTGGTTTCAGTCCTCCAAAGCTAGCAACATAGCTTTGCTGTGTTTTAAAACATGCCAGTAAGCAAAGGGGATGCATTAAAATAATAAGAGTGAACTCTACCGGTGGCAGTGCAGGTAAACTTTACAGGCACCTAACACATAAACACAACAAACAGTGTACCGGAAACCAGCAAATTATATTTCTTGGAGGAATCCCCTCAATTAAATTTTTGTGAAATATAGACTTTGTTCTACAAACTGAACATGCCATTACATCCCAACATTCTTTCAAGTGCTCAAGCACAGATATGCCTTTACACAAACATGAACTGAAGTCCAACTATATTTGTGTTATGTAAGCGCCCCTAAAAAAATAAATAAAATAAAAAATAAATAAATAAAAAGCTTTTAGAAGAATAAAACAAAAGAGGGGGACTCTAAAGTACTCCTATGATATCTCCATTTTACCATTGGCAGTTCAACACATGACAGCAGTGTGTGTGAATTAGAACCTATACTACAAACCCCAAAAAAATAAAAATAAAAGAAAACAAGTCTGTAATTCTGACCCATTTGGAGCTATCCATATGATAAATAAAAATCATCTGCAGTGCTACACATAAAGGTGAAGTGCCCAACAGAGAATCCAAAAACTAAACTTTAAAAAAAAATACATTTAATTAAATAAAATAAATAATGTAACCCTATACAACTCAAATATTAATCTTCAATACTGGAAATCACCATTGCACCAATGAACCATTCAAAACCTTCTGTCATTTTTAAGTGCACTCACCCCATAAGCTTGTTTTTCAGAAACCGTGCCTTTGAAGAAAGCTTTTGTCCATCAAGGTTTACAAGTATCTTCTGGAAGACTTCAAATGTGCATTTAAGTTCAGGTGGGTAGCTCAGGTTCAAACAGTATACGAGTTCAAACCACAGAGCACATACCAGTGAGAGCCTCCACACCCTCGATCAGGACACCAATGTCCTCTGGGTCATCTTCAGGTTCAGCACCCTCCTTCTGGATGACATACACCCCCATCACGGTTCGCTCCATGCAACTGTTTGCCTCGCTGTCTGTATCCTACGTGAAAAATATAGAACAAAATAAAAGTTAATAAATTGTTTAGAAAAATTCTGTTTGAACAACTTTTTCTATGCAGTTCATAAAATCTAAGTAATCAACATTATCAATAGAAGGAAAGATCTCTATAGCACCTCTCAAGATAAAAATCACGAGGCGCTTCACAAAAACAAAAAATGTAAAATATAAAAAAGAATTTAGAAAATTATTAAAAATATATTTAAAATGAGCAAAAAATTGACAATTGTGATTAAAAAATGTAAATAAAGAGAGAGTGAATAGGAAAGATGGAAATCAGTGGATCCTGAGGAAGGTGGAATAGGTGGGGAGAACAGAACAAGGAGCAGGGGATGAAGGTCACACAAAAACCAGCCTGAACAAGTGAGTTTTCAGCTGCTTTTTAAAGGAGACCACTGAGTCCACTGATCTCAGGCTCAGGGGGAGAAAGGTCCAGAGTCTGGGGGCCACAGCAGCAGATGATCTGTCACCTTTGGTCTTTAGCCTGGTGCGCTGCACAACCAGTAGGTTTTGATCACTGGACCTCAGGGACCTGCTGGGGGTGTAGGGACTAAGAAGATCACCAATGTAAGATGGTGCTTGTCCATGTAAGACCCTATAGACCAGAACCAGGATCTTGAAATGCATTTTGACCACACTTGCTTCTCTCTCAGTGAACAGAGCTGGCCATCTGCTTTTTAAGTCTGCAACCATCGGCTGACCCTGAAGAACTTCTTGCCTTCTGTATGAGAGTCTTCTGCATTTTTGCACTCACAACAGAGTTATTATTTCTTTTAGTCAGTTCAGAAAGAATTGCAACTCTTTCCTGTTCCAGACTTTTTCCTTTTGGATGCTCTGGACAGTAGTTAACTTCAGCTCTTCTGGGTTTCTTCACATTGAAGGCTGCCTGACGATTGTCACTGGACTTGTTTTTGATGGAGTTTATAGTCACCTCAGTACATCCAAGGCCTCTCAGTTTGGTGCGAAGGTCAGACATTTTATATTTTAGGCTAATTTTCCATCCATAACAGCCATTAAAAGACCCCTGTTCTCTAAGGCAAGGATGCGTTTTCACAAGAGCTTCTGCAACATCAGTCAGGTCATTGTCTGTTGGGTAGGCTTTGAATTTGTATATTTCTTCTGGCAGTCTTTCCAGAATTTGGGATTTCAGTTTTAGTGAGGGGTTCAATAGAGTTCCCCCATTGGCGCAGGCAGTATCAGCCTTCGCAAGCTCTAATTCAGCATCATAGCTAAATTGAGGCATAGTGAAGACACTTGGCCAAACCCAGTGCCTTGAGGATGGTGATGAACCTGAAGATGAAATAGGCTCTGTATCATCTGTGTCAGCAGAGGAGATGGATGAAGACTCAGTTGCTTGGCTTTGAGAAGATCTTGCATATTCTTCCTGTGGGCTTTGCAAAAATATCACCCTAAGGGTGGCTTTGTCCTTTACTTCTGAGATGTCTGACAAATTCGTGAACTCATTTCCAAAGTCCTTATCTTGATATTGAAGTCGAATATCTTGTTGTAATCCAAAATTTGTCTTTACTGTGTGGCTCAAATCTTCAATTGAGACCGGTGTCCCTCCTGGAAGAATCAACTTCCTGGCATCATCTTCACCCAGGATTATTCGCAGTCTTAAGCCTGGTTTATGCTTCTCCGTCAGCTCCTCAAGGGACAGACACGCACGGACTGACGGAAGTGTTTTGCTCTCATACTTCTCCGTCTCCTGGAGAGTGTTGCAAAGCAATTGCCTGGCAGGACAACAGAGGGCGTAGCGCTGCTCTGTGGTATCCTGTCATGTATCGGTCCAAGATCGTGTGTTTATATTGTGTTTTTTGTGTTTATAAGAGACTTTTAACACGGACATAATTGTCTCTCATTCTCCCACCTCTTCATGCACTCGCCACCTCTAAACCCACGTTTCCTGTCATTTCCATCCACAAATAAAACGCTTGCTGCGCATCTATTCACTCCTCCAGTCACGGGAGGATGAAACGTTCATATTTTTAGAGTTTTTTCGCGAGGTATTCTTCAAGCTTCTCCGTGTCTGCCGCTAGTTATCCTCGGCTCTCTTTGCAATGGCGGCGCTGTAAACAACAGCGGCGTCCTGACCAATCACAAGCTTGCGAAGTCCGTCTTGTTCGACGGATGTTTAAAAAAGTGGGCTTGACTCCGTACGTACTTGCATGCCTGCCGGAACCCTACGCAAGGACGGACTATGGTGTTGCGTGTCTCCGCACTGACGCAGACGGAGAAACATAAATCAGGCTTTAGGGGTGATGTCATTTTGAAGATCTGAAAAAAAGTTAAGCAATTCCTTCTGAAAAGACACCTTTTGGGCATATCAACAAGCAACACTTAGGGGCCCTTGTGCACTTCTGTGCAACTTTAATAATACTAGTTTTTGATGTGATAACAACAGAGCAGAAACACTTTAAATTTAAAACACAATTTCTCTTATCAGTTTAGAAAGAATGTAGTAAGAACTACCCATTTTTGTTTGATTTGGGTTTTGAGATAAGTGTTTTCTAATGCAAACACAAACAATTCATTTTAACATACATTATACCAGGGTTTCCCCCAGAAAATGAGTTAAGCCGGGCACTCCTCCATGAGAGCGGCGGGGTGGGGGTGGGGGGGTGGTTGCACA